CAGAGGAGGTCTGCAATGAGATCACGTGACCTTTCCGGCACAGGACGTCCCAGGAAGAAAGGGGGGTGTCCCGGAGCCACACGCAGCTTTCTCTTTAGTGCCACAGCACGTGAGAAAAGTTAAAGGAAAGCACTACTTTTTTTTTTTCTAAAGAAAAATACTCGTTACCCTACTGTGGTGGGCGGGGCATGCAACATATCGCTTCATGGCATAAATATAGGCTACATCTGACGCATCTTTTTTCCCCCCATTCCTATTAATATTCGAGTGAGGTTTCAAACTCAAATTACAAAAACCTTCGTGCTTTTTGTGCGAGAAGGCGGGCGATGTCTCCGCCTCCTCCTCCTCCGCCGCTGCATCTGGAGGAGCGGAGCGCGCGGTGCGTCGGCCGTCGTCCGACACGCGGTGCAGAGAGATGCGAGCATCATCAGACGCTTCATCAGAACGATCAGAGACCTCACCGAGAAAACAACAACAACAACAGCAGGTTTGTTACATCCACTCCCCCTCACACTTCTCGTTTTTTCCCCCTGACAGGAAATGGCTCAAAGCTCTTAAAAACGGTGCGTAAAGAAAGCTCGTGGAAACATCAGCGCGCTGAAAAACCATGTCAAATTCTGCCTGGGTTTCTGTCTGATCGCTGGTGTGAGCGTGCTTCATTGTGTTGGTCGGAGGGATGAGCAATTCATAAGCTTTTGGGCTGTTTTCTTACAAATTTGGACTTTTGCAAGAACAGACAGTTTTGAAAAAGCGTAAATGTTTTTATTTCTGCGCATTATCAAACCCTCGGGTTCAGTGGATGTTGGAGACGAACAGAGCGCCCCCTCCCCCCCAACCGACCGGATGCTTTTTTGAATGAATCGGATGAATTTGATGGGGTGGGGTATCAGCAGCAGTGCTTCAAAAAACTATCACGACTTTTACAAATTACAAGTTATTCTTTTTTATTTCTTTACCTGCTACAGTCTGAAGGGACGACCTGACTGAGAATAAATGTGCTGCTTCTGAAGGCAGCCATTAATGTAATTTAAAGTGGGCTGATAAACAGACTGATGTGTTTTTCTACTTGTCTAGTCAGATTTGCCAAACGCTTCAGTGACTCTTGAATATAAAACACTCAGTCTGGCAGCTTTGAGAGCTGTGGTGTTACGGCTCAGATAATTACGTAGGCCATATTTCATCAAAGAAGACAGTTTCACTTAAAATACTCAAAATATGTGACTTTTTTAATGTCATGATGCATCTCAGTAATCCAGGTAAAAAAATCAAAAAGAAAAAAATTGTATAGGTCTTCTGAACGGGTTCTTCTCTAATGAAACATTTCGTCTCTCCTCCAAGAGACTTCTTCAGTCTGAGAGTTTCAGGCAAAATTCAGGCTTTTGAGCCCTGCCTCCATGTAACTGATACTCACATCACATGGCTATCGTTGACACCTACAGTAATTAACACTTATTGTTAACAGGGGGTGGAGTGGTACTGCCAATAGCCGTGCTGTAGGAGGGGGACAACTGAAAATGGAGGTCTCCACCTCTGTTTAGTGATGGACGGTCTTGGATGGACTGTCAGTGATGGACGATCCGGTTCTCCGGCACAAACAGAGCAATATTGTATATGCTGTTAAGTGCCAGGAGGACTGCGACCAGTTATACATCAGGGA